TCCTTTTTTTTTTTTTTTGAGCTAATGTCTTGCTGTATAGTCCAGGCTGGTTTCAAACTCAAGCCTGCTGTGTGCTGGGATTAAGGGCGTGCTCCACCATGCCCAGCAATAAATTTGGTTTTAATGGATGCTTACACAATTGCAGTGGAACCATGGATTTAGATAAATCTTTCCTAGCCTTGTTATGACAGAAGGACTGAACATGCTGCAGTTTCTTGGGAAAATAAAGAGTTGTTAGAGAAGGCCATTAGGAAGTAGCATCAATATCACACATGAATTTAGTTCACTGCTTCCGCATTTACCAGCTGAAGAACCTTCGGCAATTCCCTTAGTCTTTGAAACTGAGGGGTTTTTTTCTTTTCTTTTCTTTTCTTTTTTTTTTTTTTTTTTTTTTTATGGTTTGGTTTTTTGGCCATGCTGTAACTTGAGCTCAAGGCCTTGCTCTTGCTAGGCAAGCACTGTGCCACTGAACTACCCCTGTGGTCTTTTTTTTTTTTTTCCACATTTTTATTTTGAGACAAGATATTGCTAAGTTGACCAGGCAGATCTTGAACTTCTGGTCCTCCTGCCTCAGCCTCCCAAGTAGCTGGGATTACGGGCATGCACCACTATGCCTGACTAAATTTTGAATCTATAGAATGGGAATGGTAACAGCCCAGGTTTGTGAAAATTAGCACTCAGTGGGAAGAATAAATTCCAAGGTTTGCAAATGCTTAACAAATTATAGTTTTTGTTTTGTTTTGGTACCAGGGATTGAACTCCGACCTTGCGCTTGTGAGGCAGGTGGCGGAACCACTGAGCTAAATCCCCGGCCCTTAACAAACTATAGTAACATTACTAAGTTCTAGGGACTCTGCTTGGACCCAGCACTGGACCACTGATGTATACCACCCAATGTCCTGCTTGTAAGCTTTAGGCACACACTTCTATTAAGTTTTGTCAACTGTCCTGCCAATGAGTGGGCTGGACATCTCCTTAGTTTCCTTTGATCTGGGACAGGTGAGTTAACAGCCTTGGCCAGCTACTTTGTAGACTCTGCCTCGGTCTGGGCTCTGTGCTTGCTTGTGCTTTGTGTCAGGCTGTGCATTCTGGGAAAGAACAGTGCATCTCACTGGGGGCCCGCTCACCTCACCGCTTCCTTCTTGGGAGGCAGAGGCAGAGATGTCTCATTTGTGTTGCCGGTGACTTTGGAGGAGCTGGTGTCTGCCAATGTCCTCTCTAAAGTTACTGTTTTTTCCTTTATTAGACACTTTAAGACTATGTTTCTTTTTTTTTTTCTCTCTCAATATTGGGAATCGAATTCAGGACCTTGGGCTTGCTAGGCAGGCACAGCACCACTGAGCTACATCCCTGGCCTCCTAAGACATATGCTTCTATCCCATTTTGTATTATACTTTCACCCATTCATTTCAGAGTCCATTGATGACTGCTGCCTGAAACAATCATTATTGTGCATGGATTTGCCAAATGATAGCTTTCCATTTCTATCACTACATATTAATTGAAATTTTGTAAACAGCTTTCCCTTCTCCCCAGTGAATCTGTGTATTAGCATGCACTCATGGGTATTTGTTTCAGCCTTTGCATTAAAATCAGTCATTGATTTTGTCGCTCAGGTGACCCAGATTCGGCCACTGGGAGCCCCATTGCATTGGCCCCCTGTATCCTTCTGACATATCCCATGATATTTTGAGTCCTTTGCTTCTTGGCACCACATATTTTCCACATTGAATGTTCAAATTAACCACAAGCATGCCTTTCTGTGATGGGGAGAAAGAGGAAAGAAAAAGTGCTGTCAGCTGGGATAAACAGATGAGATGAAGTGAGTGCTCACTTCAGCACATATTACAATGAGGTGAAGTGAGGAAGGAATTAGGAATAGATGTTCTTGATTTTGTTGCTCTAAAAGATAAGGTTATAATTAGATTTTAGGGTTTCTGCCTACTATTCCTTCCATAGTCCTTCTGCCTTCAGCTAAAACCTCAACCAGCTCTCCCAGCGGCGAACCCCCTCACTCCATGAAGACAGAAGGGAGCTTACACTAACTGGCCAATGCAGTGGGCGGGCGACTCAGGGTGGACTGGTACCAGTCTGTAGGAAATATTCCAACTGAGATCAGTGGTGAGAAATTGTCATAGCAACTGACATCCCATGATATCAAAGTACACCAGCAGACACGGTTGGCTGAACCCAGTGCTGACCACCTTGGGGCTATAAGCTCGCACAGCATTTCACCGGGGAACAGCCTACAGCCCAAGGCGGCACAGCACCACCAGGGCACACAGGAGAGACTAAGGTTAGTTCACCAACTGTGGCGTGGAAGTTACCAATCTGGAACTCATATTTAACTCTTCACTTTTACACCAGAAATTTTTGGAAATGGATGACGTTTTGAAGACATCTTGGGAATAAATCATCTTTTACTTTTGTTTTGGATGAAAATAAATATCCTACCGGGTGTGGTGGTGCACGCCTGTAATCCTAGCACTTGGGAGGCTGAGGCAAGAGGATTGCTCTGAGTTCAAGGCCAGCCTGGGGTACATAGCAAACCGTATCTCAAAAAAAGAAAGAAAGAAATATCCTAAGCTTGGTGAATTACTTTCAAATAGCTCTTTCATTCCTGTCAACATACATCTGTGAGCCTAGTTTTTCTATTATAAATGTTATTAAGACAAAACAGAAATATTTTAGCTATGTATCATCCTCTGGATGTAATTACTGTCAGCAACCTGTCCTATGCTTATTTGCCACATGAAAAACTTTACTGATACACACAGTATGTGTTCAAAGTGTATAAAGGCCAGACATTTAATATAGGGAAAGTGCCTTGATTAATAATCACATAGTTGCATTTGTGGAATGACAAAGTTGTGTGCAATGATTATCTTTTTGAGGTTTTTGCTGTTGTTGTTGTTGTTGAGACAGGGTCTGACTATAGTTTAGGCTGGCCTTGAACTCACTATATAGCCTAGGCTGGCCTCAAACTCTTGGCAATCCTCCCGAGTGCTGGGATTACATGTGTGTGCCACCACACCCAACCTGCATAATGATTATCTTAATTACCTATATTCACTCTCAAAGACAATTTTTCCTTGCATTTCTTTAGATTAAAATTTGATCCTTTAAATATAAAACACAAGGCTTGTATTTTTATGTCATTTTTAAGAATCTTGGATGTAGAAAACAACTTTCTACTCTGAAACACTCTTAACGGACACAAAGCTAGAGTTGACAGGTGAAAAAGACATCTCTCTGTGTAATTTGGTTTGAGAACATACATCTCTATATCAGGGTTCTCCAGAGAAAATACACACACACACACACACACACACACACACACACACA